GCCAAAGGTTAATGATCTGCGAGGGTTGACCGCCAGTGAAAGGGATTAGGGCCTATGTTACTCTTATTATTAATTCACAGCTAAACACAACATTGGCCAACATATTCCCATCACAATACTCTGGGGTCATTTTGTATTTTGCAACAATTTCAACGAACAAAACCTTCAAAGTCAAACAAATTTATGAAATTAATTTTTAATTGTTTTTGACAATAGGCCTCTTTGCCGAATGCTCTAAAATAGGCAGGTTACATAATACGTATACTGAACGCGTGTTATTTCATATAATTTTACAAACATAAAATAATTTAGAGTAGACTGTGATAACCACCACCACATTCATTCAATATTTTATTGAGTTTTACATTTGCCAAACGTCACCAACAGCCTTTAACAGTCTGCTGCTGAACATAGGCTTCTTAGAAAGAAGGTTTTGGCCTACTATACCACGCTGGCCAGACGGTTTGCCATAGGGTTCGTTTCAAGTTTTCCTCCGTTTTTAGTGTTGTTATCCTGAGTAGTTGGCTATCTTAGTCGGCTCTTACGACATCCACGGGATGAATAGAGGTGATGACACTTAGTATTCTTAGTCCGTCACCACACTCGTTAGATACAAACATCAATTTCTGATTTCATAATTAGCTGATAAAAATAACTAAATATCGAGTTTTCCATCCACAAAGAACTTAAATAAAAACCCCATTCATAAAAATTGTCTATAAATAAACTGGCATTTCCACAGTTTAAAAAACAAGCAAATAGTTTTTAATTTAAAACTTCAGTGACGTTTTTCGGCACTGAAGCGGCGACATCAGTTTGTACGGGTTGTAATCTCAAAGACATGTTTTATTACTGAAAATATTAAATCCGTCATGAGCAAGCCTTTTGAATTCTGTGGGTTTTAGAGTTTTGTGTTAATGAGAACGTAAATACAAATTGAACATTTCTCATTTGCAGTTTTGAATGAAGCTTTACAAAATTGGAAAAGTTGGTTTTATACACATTCAAATGAAAACCACAAAACCACGTACTTGGAATGTTAGTTAGTGCATGCGCAAGAGTCTTCAATGAGATAATAATTTAAACCAAAGTTTATATCTAGCAAAGACCGAAAAAATCCTCATCACATCATCGTCACATCAACAGCCTTTAATAGTTCATTGCTGGACATAGGCCTCTCCTTACAAAGGAGGTTTTGGCCTATTATACCACTGTGGCCAGACGGATTGGTATAGGGTTTATTTCAAGTTTTCCTTCTCTTTGCAGTGCTATTGTCTTGCATAATTTGCTCCCTTAGTCTTCTCTTACGATACCCAAGGGATGAGTAGGGGTGGTGACACTTCGAATTCTTAATCCGTCACCACACGGACTACGTTTTTTTATGCGCAACGGGAATGTTCATACTGGTTGTAGGCCGTATTCAAGATACTATGCCAGATAGAGTAACGAGACCTTACGTTTTCAATAGTTTAATGAATAAACTATAGTCGATAACGTAGATCAGTTTTTAAGTAAAATGCTAAATCTGTAAATAAACATGTTTAAATGATCAATAGTGTAGGAGGAAAAGGAGCTGATATATCCCCAGATAAACGCACCTACAAAAAAGTTCAAACGTATATATAACCTCCTCTTTGCTTAAAATACCTTCAGTATCACAATACACTTTTAATCATTCGTGTGTTTGTGAACATGAAATAATAACAATTAATGTTTTAAACAAATGTATATCAAAAACAACATTAACCTCGTCACCTAAGCGCATCAATATTCAACAGTGCTGAAATAATCCTACCATCGTTTAATAATGCATGTGCTTTCACACCCACATTTCTATTTTGACGCAGGATTAATGTTGCCACGTAAAAAATAAACGTTCAAAGGCCGAAATGGCGCGAAAAATGACAGGTGTCAAATTTGAGTCAAATATAACGACAGGCTTGAGCTGGGTCGAATTTATATCAAGTTGAATTTGTAAAAATACAATTATCCATAAATGCTGATAAATTATTTTATAAAGAGACGTGATATGTCAAGATTAAAATGAATTTGAAATATTAGGATGATCTTATCTTGTACATATTAAGATTGCTTGACTGAGGCACACATAAAAACTGCATCAATATCATTGTAATATATATATTTTCTTGTCCCATGATTAAAATACATTTCTACTGACCGATTATACGTACCCTAGGACCAAGTACAGTTTTAATAAATCAATCAGTCAGGCAGGTTTGTATATAAAAACAATTTAAACATTTAATTTAAAAACCATTTATCTTTCAACAAAAAAATAATGTAAAAACTCTTTATTTTTCAATCAATGTCAAACAATGACCGTTAACGAGTTATTTATGAAAAACGGCTCTGTTCATTAAAAAAAATTTAACGCCGAATATATTTTAGCGATATTCGGTAACATGATGACGTGGACTTTTTGAACCACAAAACGAAGGTTCATACAGTTATCTACCTTACCCCAAAATCATACAGTTGTCTTTTTTCTCTGTATTATTACTAAATGAATACATTCAATCAAAAGTCTTTCCTTCTTTAAATTAGATGATAACATTGCTAGTAATGTGTACTAGATAGTAATAGAATAAATGGATTATAACAATTTCGTTAACTATTGCCCATCTGTACCACTTCAAATAATCATACTCCAGTTTTGACAGTAAAATTGGCGCGAAAAGTGACGGCGGATAACAGTTAACTGGATAAAGCTCTGTGGCTAAATAGGTCGATTAGAATGTAATAAAATTATAACCTAGCCGGTTCTCCTGACTTTAATCAATTAAATTTGATTCGCTTCTATGCAGATAGTAGCCAGTATTTTGGTATTTCCCTTGATATTTTATTTATATCTCTTACCTTAACCAATTGGAATTTAAAATATACCGTAATATATTCATCAGGAGGGAATAAAAACAATTGCGAAGATAAAAAATCGTCTGAAAATGTTTTTTGTATACACTGTAGTTTCGTATTGTATTTTTTAAGGGAAATTGTTTAAGGAGTTGGTATTTAATGTATTCAGATCTACTTATCAATTTATTTTACTATTTCTACTGTATATGTATTAAGTTTTCATCTTTGGTTTACTTTTTACTAAAACCATAGTGTCCGTGTGGTGACGGATTAAGAATACGGAATGTCACCACCCCTATTCATCCCGTGGGTGTCGTAAGAGCCGACTAAGGGAACAAACTGCACAGGCCAACAGCACTGCAAAAAGAAGGAAAACTTGAAACAAACCCTATACCAACCCGTCTGGCCAGCGTGGTATAGTATGCCAAAACCTCCTTCCTAAGGAGAGGCCTATGTCCAGCAGTGGACTATTATGGGCTGTTGATATGATGATATATGATATGATATAAAACCATAGTGTCTTATATCCCGTAACTTCTAATTACTAATAATTACTCTAACAAAAGTTGAAATAAACCTGACGACGCAGAATACAAGAGAGACTAAGTATATTTCCTTGACCGCCTTCAATTCGCTTATTAAACCTTTGTAATAATTAAAGACCGTACGGATGGCGTAGTGGTTTAAGCGGTCGCCACGCCGCTTCCTACTGCGCTGAGTGTTGAGAGCTCGATCCCCACATAGGTCTGGGTGTTCTTTGTGTCCGTTTCATGAATGTCTGTAAAGTCGCGCGCGACACAGGATATATATACCTAATACGGGAGTTGTCTTTTTAAAAGAAAGAGAGGAGCCGCTGTGGTCTCGTCAGTTGTACATATCAAGCGAAAAAACAATCTTTATTTTGTTTTATGCTTCATTCCGAATTAAATGCAGTAGAACTAGTGAGGCTTTTTTAATTCTCACTAGTTTGACCGTTGAACTAATGAGAAAAAAATCTCACTAGTTCGACGATCGAACTGATGGATTGAACTAATGAGAACAAATCTACAACAGCTTTGCAAGGAGAAAGAAAACTTGAAATAAACGGTATACCAACCCGTCTGGCCAGCGTGGTATAGTAGGCCAAAACCATATTTCTAAAGAGAGGCCTATGTCTAGCAGTGGACTAGTAAAGGCTGTTGATGATAATAAGTAGGCTATGTTCTTCTTATTACTCTACTAATCAGTGAATAGTAAAATAATGAGAAAAATACTCATGATTGAGTGGTCTTATGGGAGTCCGTCAAAGATTTGCATAAGTAATACAAATCAATCGCAAAGTCTCGCCACGTCCCCGAAACAAAATCCATGAAATTCGTTTCTGTCTTACTTACTGTCAGCCACAAACTTTCACGGCTCTACTACTGGGAATATACTCGACGATTAAAATATATATTCTTTATATATCCTCTTTTGTTCTGATTAAATTTGCCGCAGCTTCAGTCTGTTTAGTATCCCCCGGAGTGTGTCGAGTGTCACTGGGATTGTGCGGTAGAAAATATGACCATTCGACTAACATTAAATTAATTTTTTTAAACGCACAATAAATACAGATTTTTCGCCGTTATGAAGACAATTTAAAGGCTCCTCGATTTACTTTAAATGTTAGGTTTTATGTGAAACGTCCCCTTTAACGAAATGTTGTATTTTTTTTAATGGAGTATAATAAAAATAATGTGTGTGTCATACGTTTTCCATACAAAATTAATTCTTAAATTTTTTGACATATAAATCTAAAAAAAAAAATCTTGTAGGTATAAATGTATATATACCAAGTTATCGAATCCACACTCAGAACAGGCTATAAGTATTGTTATTTTTTGTAATATGAGGAACTGAACAATGCCAATAACACCAGTCATATTCCCGTACAACAAATCACAAAAGCCTCCTAAAATATTTTATACATTTGCCATGAACTTTTCTATTCTAGAGAGCTACTTGAGTCTCTACCTTATTAGAGCCAGCTCTAGCTATTAATATATTGTAGACGAACATTGTTTAAGCGTGAATGTATGCAGAAAAACTGTTGCTAATTTTGCATCACCAGGAAATGTTTGTAGAATTCTTGTTTTGTAAATTGCGCAATGGATCTTCCTGTGTACTGCGTCATGCGCTTTATTACTTCTTTTGTTCCTACTTCACAGACATGCACTTTGAAAACGGGTGACATATCAAGTTTAGTTTAATATGACTACCTCGGTGACGCAGTGGCAGCGTATGCGACTGCTGTGCTGAGGTCTCGGGTTCGATTCCCGGGTCGGACCAAATGTTTGTATGATCTACAAATATTTGTTTCGGGGTTTGGGTGTTTTCTGTATATAACATGTATGTATTTACAAAAAAAAGTATGTAAGTAAGATGTCGTTGTGTGTCAGATGTCCAAATATATTATGACTAGCAGACCCGCGCAACTTCGTCTGCGTCTCTCAATAGTAATGAATTTTCTCCGTTTTTGAAACATTCTTCATTGGTGCTCCGCTCCTTTTGGTCTTAGCGTGATGATATATAGCCTATAGCCTTCCTCAATAAATGGTCTATCTAACACTGAAAGATTTTTTTAAATCGGACCAGTAGTTCCCGAGATTAGCGCGTTCAAACAAACAAACAAACTCTTCAGCTTTATAATATTAGTATAGATATGACATGATTTCTTTTTTGTGTTGTTCACAGGCGAGTGGCGTGGCGAGAGGAGAATGTTGGACATCACGCGGGACAAGCCCGTTAAAGTTTGTGTGCGAGTTGTCGTACCTGTCCGGGATCATCCCAAAGTAAGTATTACGTTTACAGCACTAACTTAAGTTCGCAACTTTGTTCATATTAATGTAAATTAAGTTAATCCTTGCAGATTACTTATCGGTTGACAAAAAGGTTCAAAAATAATATATTAAAAAAGATATATAAAAACAAATATTCAAATTTATGATATTGGCTAGCATAATAGTTATTTTTTTCAATAATAGAGGTTTTTATTGTAAAAAGACAGCTCGTGTGTCAGGGATTTTACAAACATTCGTGAAATGGACACAAAGAACACCCATACTCAGAACAATAACTATTTGTGGATTACACTAAGTATTATCCAATGTAGGGATTGAACCCACAACACTCAGAGCAGTATAAAGCGGTGAGGTGACCTTAAACCACTACGTCGTCTATGTAGTCAAATGTGCTTTGTATGTATGTAATACCCAAGCACGAATCTTTTTTTAATTTCAGTCGCACTAAACGTATACGTAACGTAAACGTAAAAAGAAAAACATGGATCCATGTTATTCTCACCATTCAAAACTGTGTTTAACCTAACTTATTTGTTATTTTTAATACATTCTATAAACAAATAGCGAGAATTACATTTTGTTACTCAATGTATTGTATGATTTAATATAAAAAATAGTCTTATTTTCAAAGAAAAAAACAGAGACTTGTCCGTGGCACGTTTTGAAGACGGATTGAAACGTCTTGACGTAAAATATTGTGTTTTTAAGGAGGCACGTGCGAAGCGCTGAACTGAATTGCTTTGGGTTCGCTGGTTACGCTAAATATCTCATTTAATATTTGTTTTTTAAGGTTATTTATTTGTTAAAAAGAAAATCAATTGCGCACTGCTACTATCAAAAGAGCTAAGTACTATCTATACAAATAAATAATTGAACTTTGATTTTTAAGCGGAGCGACCGCCATCAGAATTCTACAACCCAAGTACTAGGCGATATTGAAGCTCTGCAGAAAGACTGCCGTCGGACTTTTTAGGGCAACAAGGACGGGGCTTAACGTGCTGGGCATGGAGGGGTCTTAATGTGTTAAGAATGGTCACCCATCTATATACTGACCTGGCTAGGACTGCTTAACTTTGCAATGTGTTAACATACTCGGTTAGCACTTAGCCACGAGACTCGCTTTCTGATGTATTTATAATGAAAAAATCGGTTGTCTGTAAAGTCGGTTTACTGACGATAGTTGAACGTGACACTTCACGCCTTAAATGGAACGCCTCAGAGCGAGGTAACGCCGCATGAGTCATGTTTTTTCGTGCGTGCAGCCGGCTCCATCGAATTATAAGACGTTGTCACGTCAAAAAGGTTACTTCAGATAGATCTTCATCCACTGACATCTTCCCCCAGATTTTATGGTTTTCTGGTTTTTATGGAAATTAGACGAAAACTAATAGATGTACCCTATTAGAACATATTGCGTCAGTAAAAAATTTAACGTTAAGGCAATTCGGAACAAGATTATATGTAGGTACAGAACCTTTTGCGCCGCTTTTTACCCTGTTCAATCTTCACGAATGACCAAGGACCAGTAATTTTATCACTACACACGATAAGTAAACTATTACTCACACTTCCAAAGTATGTGAAATAAAAGAGACGCGGTACGGAGAGAAAATAAAACGACGCGTTGTAGTATTAAGTAGTAATATTAGAAACATAATTACACTCGAGAGCAATAAAACCAAGTCACATGAAAATACCTAAAAATATCGGGCACTAAGAATGCGAATAGTAAAATGAGTATTACATAGACAATAAAATATTAATCGAACCTGACGAAGCGAAATTTAGAAACACACTAAAATTATTTTTTGCAACTTTAAATGTGTGAATTTTATTATAATTAAAAAAATTAACCATTCCAAGGTTAGGAAGTCCTTCAGAATTTCAAACTCTGCAGTGAAAAATAATAGTCGTGCCCTCAATCGAGACGTGGCGGCCCAATTTCCTATCGAAGCATTGAATCTGTCACGAGAGGTCCCCACTCTCTGGCGGCCCGCGGCCCCGTCGGCGGCCGCCGACGTCCTCTACGCTCGAGATCGGCCCTCTCCCGATCCCGTTCAGCGGTCTCTTTCTGGAGCATTACAGCTTTACAGAAAGAGACCACTGCGCCCCATCCCTCCTCACCCGCCAGCATGATAGCAGGTCTCGTCCGATTTGGTCGACCAGGACTTCGCATTCAGACGAATACGCTGGGCAGTCTTCCAGCGCTCATGATATACTTAAAAAGTATCATAAATATGATAAAAACATATTAACAGTTTAACTATTTACCGGGAATTAGGACCTTTGAGTTATTAAAGTTACCAAGAAATTATCACTTTCATTATTTTTGACACTTAAGGGCCTAAATTAGACGTCCTTTGACGAACAACAACTAGAATTAGACGAGATATTTATGTTGTTACATCAAATGCATGTTGTTCTACCACTTCACATAGTCTATGATCCCTACAAACAATAATTTTTGGCGGCCTTTTAGTATTTTATTGCAATTACGTGTTGAAAAATTGCCATGAATTTTTCCTCTCTCCGTTCTCTGAATTGGTAAACGAGGAGATAACACAATTGTTTTTTCGTATTACGAACGTTTTAAGATATTAATCAGTTTTTTTTCGGGTTTTCTTTTGCCTATACACATCTGAGATTCACTATTTCTGAAATTAAGTTGTAAAGAAACTAAGAGTAGAAAAAAAGAATATCAAAGTAACAATTTAACCGATAAATGCAGATAGTAAACTAGCAGAGCTGGCCTTAGACGTTAAGTGCATACAGAACTTCAACAGCCTTTACTAGTCCACTGTTGGACATAGGTCTCTCGACAGTAAAACTGTTTTTTTTTATTGAGTTGGTGGGGTGTTTTGTTATGTGTAGGTCACACATATTAATATCTATATTTGCTGTAAACGCAATGTCGTATGGTGGAGGTACATATGTAAAGTAAAGTAATGCAGGCGCTGTATGTGACGCTTACGCTATTAAACGGGTTCCAGTTGAAAATCAACGATGGGCCTTCGTTTGGCTGAACTGGACGCCCATTTGATACAGCGGTGAGACACAGAATAAGTTATCTAGAAATTGGCACCCTAAATAGATATCCTGTTTCTCTTTATAAATGGGGTGCAAGTTTTTAATTTTGTTATCCCTACTATGGGTGGATGTTACCTTATATTGGTGTGTTTGTACCAAATTAAATGTTGTTTCTTTCTCTCATTTCAAAGGAGGTTTGGCCTATTATAGTGCCCTGGCCAGACGGGTTAGTAAAGGGTTTATTTCAAGCTTTCCTTTTCTTTGCAGTGCTGTCCGGCAGAGTTTGCTCCCTTAGTCGGCTCTTACGACACCCACGGGATGAGTAGGGCCGGTGACACTATTTTTTCTTAATCCGTCACAACACAGAAGAATTGTTTAAGCCTCGATGGCGCAGTTGTAGTTTATGCGACTACTGTGCTAAGGTCTCGGGTTCGATACCTTGTCGCACCAAATGTTTGTATGATCTGCAAATATTTGATTCGGAGTTTGGGTATTTTCTATGTACAATATGTATGTATTTATGTAAAAAAAGTATATAAGTATTCTATCAGTCATTCTAGCTTTCATAGTACAAGCTCTGCTTAGTTTGAAACTAGATGGCGCTGTGTATCAGATGTTCGAAATATTAAAAAATATAAATTATATATTTAGTATATTTAAATAACTATATTTTCCTATTAATTTTATGGAACCCAACACGCCTTTTTACCGATTTACATACTTTATCTTAACCCTTAGAATCCTGGTGTCGAATAACCGTACAAAAACAATTTTTGTGCTAACAATGGCAAAAAAAGAAATATTGGCTGTAGGCATGCCTGTAACACGACACGGAAGAAAAAGTAGTAAATAATGATACAGTGTTGAGTGACAAGCCGTTCGTTTGAAATGAAGTCGAGTTTAGGGAATAAAAATTGTTTTGTTATTTACGCTTCACAAGATAAAAAGTAGTAAAAACCTTAACTTACTTTCAGTCCCAAGATAATAAAAAATCTACCCACATATTGTTAAAATAAGGTCGATATATTACGGATATGCGTGCCTTGATTCCTGGGGAAGGACTCAAAGGGCGGCAGCGCCTTGTGACTCTTAAGTTGCAGGTGTATGGACACCTGGGCGGCGTTTGCGGTAGTTCCTTACCATCAAGTAATCCGTCTCCTCGTTTGCCATCTTATACTATTAAAAAAATCACCTATGTATACGTACGCCATCTAGCGAACACAAGCCGAACTATATTGTAAATACTCCAACTGCATCGCGCAATGACAATTATATGTAAAAATTCACCAGCATAAGCGCCTTAACAAGTCGGGTGGAGCCTACATTTTTGTTGGTAGGACTTACATTACATTAACTTGCTTACATAAATCTATATAAATATAAGAGATTTTCACGTATATAGTCACTCATCACGATATCTCTGGAACCATTAGAGCTAAAGACTTGAAATTTGGTAGGAATATTCTTTTCACCGAGTAGAGGTCAGCTAAGAACGGATTTTAAGAAATAAAAAAAAAAAAAGTAAATAATGTAAATAGCAAAACGACGTTAGCAGGGTCAGCTAGTTATTAATAAATGCAACATAATCTTTCAAGTCAGATTATATTTGCTTTCAGACGTCTACATATGCTAACAGATTAATAAATAAAAAACAAGTTTGACTTCAGAACTCTTTTGTTAAATTAAAAAAATCAGTAGTGTTTGTAATTGCATTATTCATTTTGGTAAGATAATAATAACTTCTTAACGAAATCTGAGATGTTTCATTAGAATTAAATTTTTAATTAAAATTCTTAATTCTTTATTAAGTAAAATAAGGCTGACATAGACCCTCAGTATTACTTATTTTGCATCGGGGTTGGCACCGACTTCAAAAAGACTAGAAGGTATCTATTGTAATTATAATGCGACCTGTTTTAATGAGGGACGCACTTATTTTAGTTTTTGCGATTTAATTTGTAATT